TTTATGTCCTGCTTGTCCTATTTGGACAACCTGCTGTCAGTAGTCTAGGAAAGGGCACTTTCTTGCCCAGTGGATTACTTTTGCTAAAAAGAAAGTAACCTGCATGTGGAGTTTCTTTGATGCCCACCATCTTTTCTGAAGTAGATTGGTGCTGCCAGGGGTGGATATTTCCCTCTGTCATAATATAAGAACATATACTATTAAAATGTCTTAAATGCCTTATTCTGTAGATTTCTGATGTGTTTAAAGATTATATGTCTATCTAAAATATATCTCTGTTTGAACTTGTAAACATATCTACTCTGACTACAAATTTGATTGTAATAGGTGACTAATTACTAAGCTGTATTTTCTTATTATTCTTTATAGTTGGTAATAATAACTTTCAAGGACTAGAAATTTTATTACATTGTTAAATAAGCTGTAAAGGTACAATACCTTGAACAAGATTAGAAATGTATTCATAGTATGTTTTAACCAAATTTATCTCAAATGTCTATCAACATATATAATTTGTATACAATATACAAAAATCCAATCAAATGTAAAATATTTAAAACTAGTACTTGTTTTTTAAAAGTAGATTCAATAATCTACATTTTAATTTATTCTATCTAAATCCTCCTTTTTTACTTTTCAGAGTAGATTCAATATTTATTCCCTTATCCTGTTGTATTTGTATCCCCTTTTTTTTCAAAACAAGAACTCTGAGTCTAATCCCCTTTGTTCAACTTCCATCCTGACCATAACCAATAACAACTTGTCACCAACCCTTTAAACAATGACAAATATCTATAACCCAATGAAAGACTAAAAACAATGCACCCCATCTCAGGAATGTTGTTGACATGTTCTTAAATTTATTTCTTGCTATCTGGGGGGGGGCAATAGCATCTTTAGGCGATCCTGAAATGAAATATTGGGTTAATTGTCAAGTCCTGGGAGATGTAGCTGTATCATTTGTTGTCCAGTCTCTGAGTAATGGAAAAGTTCAGGGCTTGTCTCAAGTCCTGGCTAAAGTGGTCTGTGAGGCTGGATCATCTCTGCTAGCCACCTCAAAATTGTCCTTAGCAGTTTGTTGTCCAAAGCCAATCTTTAGTTAGTATATTTCAGTTTAGTAGTGTTATCATAGTCCTGATGGAATTGTGGTTGTGGGATCCCATCTTCTTTTTGGAGACTTCAGAGAGCCATTATGTCAGATTATTTCTTTTCTTGGTAATTTATTCCAGGTAGTTCTCCTTTCTTCTTTTTTATGCTTATTTTTACAAAGGTCTTAAATTCCTCAAGGTGCTTGTTTTCATTTTTCTGAAAAGGCAAAAATAAAAGCCTTCTACAACCTTAACTTTGGGGAGGTTCTTAGTTTGACTTTTATCAATTTTTACTTATTTGTTTCTCCTGAAATTTTTATTTTATCTTCTAAAGCTCTTCTCACACCCAGAGAAGTATGGATTCTTAATTCTGCATTAGGTTTTTAAAATTGCTCTGGAAGGAGTTTCCACAGTGACAGGAAAGGACTGCGTCAGATTTGGTGGCTTAAATGATAATGGCTAACATATACTAATATTGGTCAGTAGTTTGGAGGAACTGTTCTGGCATGATTAGGGCATGTGCCCTTATGATAGGAGTTATGTCACTGGGAGTTGATTTAAAAGTTTTAAAGCACTAACTCATATAAAGTTAGTGCTTTCTAACTGCTTGATGGTTGTATATAAATATGAGCTCTCAGATATTCCTTTGCTCTGCCAACACTTCAACCTTTTGAAAACATAATCTAAAATACATATAACCTACCATAAGGTGTCTTGTTTATATTTATGCCATTTTTTTAAAACAGCAATTGATGAACTAAGGCATCTGCCCTCAAACCAACACGGCTCACAGTTTGCTGATAGAAATGAAAGCAACAGAATGGTGTCTTATAGGTTCACAGAAATGAGGATATTCATCAAAGTGTCTTTGTCAGGGTTTGTATTGGTGTACAGAATAGACCATAGCAACTCTTATATAGTAAAACATTTAACTGAGGTGGCTTGTTTACAGTGTCAGAAGTTCAGTCTATTATCACCATGATGGGGAATTGGTGTGCAGGAAGATATGGTACTGAATTAGTATCTGAGAGTCCTACATATTGCAGGCAACAGGAAGTCACTGAGACAGTGTATTGCGTGATCCAGGAGACAATCTGTAATCTGTAAAGTCGAGATATCTTTATTGAGATAAATACCAGCCAAACACAAGCCAGAGCAGCGAGGCCAGGGAGAAGGGGCAGGAGAAGAAAAAGAGGGGCCTTCCATGTGCTCAGGGTTCCTTAAGAGCCCACCCCGCATCATCCTGACCTCATCTTGACCACGCCTTGACAGGCTTGGTCAGGCACACCTGTAGCTAGCCCTTAGGGGATGTGGTTATAATGTCTCCCTACAACAGTAGGTGATACCCTGAGCAGAAGAAACCTCAAAGCCTGTCCCACAGTGACACACTTCCTCCAACAAAGCCACACACTTCCTAATAATGCTGTTCCCTATGAGATTATGGGGCACGATGGCATTCAAACTACTACATTCCACACCTTTCCCCCATAAGCTTGTAACAATAAGATAATGCAAAATTCATATAGTATAACTCAAAAGTCCCCATAGTATAATAAAGTTTTAATAATGTTTTAAAGTTCAAAGTTCAAAATCTTCTCTGAGATTCATACACTCTCTTAACTATAATCACATACAAAAATCAAAATAAAAAATAGGATCACATACTTCCAACAGTATATGATGCACATCACTATTCCAAACACAAGGAAGGGAGCATGTCAAGGAAATACTGGACCAAAGCAAGACTGAAAATTAGCTGGGCAAACTCCAAACTCAGTATCTCCATGTCTGATGTCAAAAAGCTCTTCAGATCTCCAACTCTGTTGACTGCAACATACTTCTTTTTCTTGGGATTGTTCCACTTCTTGTTAGCAGCTTTCATCATCAGGTATCCCAAGGCATTGGCATCTACAACATCTTGGGGTCTCAAGGACATACAGGCTTCAATTCCACAGCTTCACACAATGGCCTGTGTATCAGGTCTCCATTCAGAGACACCCCAGGAACATGCCTGGCCTCAGAGGCTTTCTTTAGGCTTGTAGGCAAATTCTGTTTCTTCTATTTTTAACTCTAAAGCTGCCCAATTCTGCAGCTTGCTGAGACTTTGAACATTGCACCCTTGTTCAATTACTTCAGCACCAGATTTCTGTCATTCACTGCCTAAGCTTGGCTGTCATGGAACTTGCTCTGTAGACCATGCTGTCCTCAAACTCAAAGATATGCCAGCCTATTCCTTCCCAGTTCTTGTATTCAAGGTGTTCCCCACCAACCAACCTCTAAGAATTTCTTTAATTCCTTTTCACAACTTTGAAATTTAGCTGTGTGAGATCTTGTCCTGAGGTCATCACTCCCTATATCACATTTATTAATCCACTTATCTCCTTGAACACCAGATTTATCTCCAGTCCACTTCCTGGTGCTCTTTTTCTCCTCAAAATTTACATTTTGTAATTTACCTTCCTCAGCTTGCTCCTTTTCTTTTTAAAACTTTTTAAGCATAAACACTAGTAACCACATGACCGTGTATACTAGGCTGTTTTGAGATTTCATTTGCCAACAGAATTAATCCAAAACTCTCCACTTTAGCCTCAGGCCAAACTCTACAGAAGGACACAAGGAAGCCATTTTATTTACCAAAATACCACTAGACTGACCTTTAGACAACAAACTAAAATTTTTCTCCTCTGAAACTACTTGAGTGGGCCTCCAGCAATTCAAATAAATCTTAGCACCACTGTCTTCCATGTTCCTAATAGAATAGCTCATTTAGCAGTGTTTAAAGCATCCCATTGCTATCATAACCCAAAGTAGCAAAGAAAAAATTCATTTAAGGAAAAATATGGTCAGGTCAATCACAGCAATACCTAACTCAGTCCGTGTTCTGTCTTAGTTAGAGTTTCTATTTCTGTGAAGAGACATCATGACCATTGCAACTCTTATAAGGAAAACATTTAATTGAATTGGTTCAATTACAGTTTCAGGGGCTCAAACCATTATCATTATGAGGGGGGAGCATGACAGTATGCAGGCAGATATGGTGCTAGAGTAGTATCTGAGAGTCCTACATCTTGCAGGAATGAGGAAGTTGACTGAAATACTGAGTGGTATCCCAAGCATAGGAAAACTCAAAGCCCACTCCCACAGTGACATACTTCCTCCAACAAGGCCACACCTCCTAATAGTGGTCCTCATTATGAGATTGTGGGGGAAAATTACATTCAAACTACAACAGTCAGAATTTCAGGTATAGGGAACAGAAAGAGCCTGGGAACTTGCAAGAATCAAGGAGATAGCTGACAGTAGACTGGAGAGCTCTAGCTCCCAAAAAGTGATACCAAACAATCTGGTTGTAGCCAAGTTTTCCAGACATCACAAAATGGGTTCAGAGGAACATATGTGCCTTTCCCTTCCATCTCCATTTGTGGACTGTGGGAGTGGGAGCCAAGCTCTAAGGTCCATGGTGTGCTGAGGGCCCGAGTCTGTTCAGAGTAAAGGAGAGAGCTAGAGGGTGGCCTGAAGAAGCCCCTGTCCAGATAAAGCTCTACCAAATAATGCAACTGAATGTTTGATAAGCCAGGCACTAACCTGGAACTCCCGTCTAGGAATAGTCCACTGAGCCTTTCTGTCTGCAGGGAACCCGGTTTTGAGCTTCCTTGACTGGAGAGTGACAATGTTTCCTGAAGTTAAGGTGAAGGTATAGGTTGGACAACCGAGCTTCTGTTCCACATGAAGGGACCAAAGTTAATGTCACTGACTCCCTGTGCTAAGTCTGGTATCAGGATGTGACCCATAGTTTGCATGAGCCCCCACCTCCTTTTTTCCATCCTAGGTTTCTGTGAATAGTTGACAGCTTTCAAGATTCCTGGAGTGGAGAGGGCCTGGGTCTTTTAACAGTCAAGATGAAACCTGAGGGTGGGTTGTAGAAGCCCCATCCCAGACAGACAGTCCTCCATCAAAGGGACTGACTTAACAGGAGAAACACTCACTTGATTCTTGTTTGTGCTTCCTCATCATAGAACTTGGGAAAGTTCTAATTATTTTTTAATTACCTTGCTTTTGAGGGATGCCTCAGAACCAACTTCAGGAATAAGCTCCCTCCCCACTAGTCCACATTCACATGTAACGGACTAGAAGATGAAGGATCATTTTCTTAGGTTCCTGGACAAGAGACAGCCATTAAGTATTTTCAGAATGTGAGAGTTTAACATGGGCTATAGTGGCCAATTTAATGATAGAGGTTCCCCAAATAATGTACTCCAGGCCTATGGTCACCACACAACCAATTATGGCCCATATGGAGAAATAAGACCTTTATCTCTTAATACCTGTGGACTCTTTATAGGCACATTTTTCCCAGCAGGGAAGAGGGACACACAACTAGCACAGGGAGAGATCCTGAGAATAGACTATAGAAGATCTGCTTTGGATATGGAGTTCTCAGACAACATAGTTATTCCTTTTTCATATGCTGCACAATATAAAGCTTACTTATGATAATTATATCCTTCTCTTCAATCTAGAGCAGTGGAGGATTCTGTCCATAGGATCCATTTGCAGTGTTTCTCAGAGAGGAGTTGTCCACCTAATTTTCAAAATAAAAGCTGGGAGCAGATATCAGAATCCCCATTCCATATAATCAGGTGGGGATTATCATACATTGTATCATTTTGATGGACCCACACCAAACTGAGACTGTCCGGATGAGTCTGCCCATAAGCTTTCTAATTTGGGAATTTAGAGGACCTGGATACATTTTGTTAGTTTCCTGGGCGACAGCAGTGCTTTCAGAGCTAAGGAAAGAATTTAGGAAGGATTCTAAAAGCCACTTTTAGGATTGAAGGTTCTCAACTAATGCAGTTTCACTCTGTTGTCAGCCTACTTCTAAGTGGGGTCCACTTGTGTGTTTGAACCTCTTTCTCTTCCCTTGTCTGGGACCCTTATTTCATCACCGTTTTCAGACATTTTCAGAGAGAAAGTGGGAAGGCATCATTTACAGGAAGAAGTGGGGCCTGAGAGCTGACTGTGGAAACTAGACTCTGGACAGAGGGATCCCAGTTTATATAGTTCAACTAGTGTGGTGTGTGCTACAGTGATAGGGTCACTTGTGGAAATGAGCCCCTTCTGCTGCTTCTAGCTGTGGGATGGGACTCTATCCATAGGAGCTGACTCAGAGTTTTCCAAGTGGAGGGACACACTGTTTTCTGAGAAAAATAGGAAGTTTTGAGTGGGACTCTGAAGGCCCACCCAGATAGATAAGCTGGGATAATCAAGCTACACTGTACTTTTTGAGGGTTCTGTACCAAACTCAGGCTGACTTGTGGGAATTAGCCTTCTGCAAGCTTCTGTTTCTGGGGACTTAGGGGAGACAGAGCCATTTTGTGAGGTTCCTAGAGGTTAGAGGGCACCTCAGTGTTGGCTTATGGGAATAGTCCCCATACTCATTCTTTCACATTCACATCCACACACGTGGATGTTTTATAACCATTTTGTCATATTCCTGGATGACATAAATTTTGTAACAATAAATCTTTACATCAGCCGCCCAAGCTCCACTGCCACACGGCCACCCAAAATAACACACAGTCTTATATTAATTATAATGCTGTGGTCAATGACTAGTGTTTCTTATCTGCTTCTTTTCAGTATTAATTATCAATCATAATCATAAGACTTATGTTATGGAGGACGCCGGCAGAATGTGTCCTGTCTTCCTGGGATCACATGGTGACTCCAGAACAGAGAGCAGGAGAGAGAGGAAGAGGACAATTTCCTGTTTGTCCCTTCTTATATTCTGAGTCTTACTACTATGTCACTTCCTACCTGGATCACAAGACTTCTTTGCTCTATTTCCCAGAATCCTCCTCGACTCCTAGTCATACCTATCTTTCTGCCTCATTGACCAAACAGTGCTTTATTCATTAACCAATCAGAGAGACATATACACACAAGGACTCCCCCTAACATCTACTCTTTTCTGTCTAAAATAGAAAGAATGGTTTCCATTACCATTTATAACAAACCCCTTCCAAATAAAAACAAACATTTATAAACAATATTTGGAAATTTGGGTGTCGTTCATTACAATCTGCTTCCTGCTGTTTGGGGGTGATGTCCATACCATGGGGATCATGATAAAACACAGAAATCTGGCCAGGTCTTTGTTTTTGTACTATGTAATGCTGTATGGTCTCAGCTGCTTTAGATGTAGGATCAGTTGGGCTGCTGCTTCAAAGGGTCTTGCTTGATGAAACCATACTAGTTTGGAAGGAATCCATAGCTTTTCATTTTCTGTGCAAACATAAGTAGAAACTCTTTTTCCAAGTAGCCTGTCCTTAGACTTACATTTTGAAGTCAAAGTATTTTCAAAATGTATAAGTTGGATTTTTTTCAGCAGCATTTATAATCAAATGTATTTTAGCTTCATTTGCTCTTTCCTCAACAATCAAACAATTTAGAGACAACAATATAGCATATAGTATCCAGACTCCCTGTGTATTTTCCATCATTATGTGGCTTTTTATTATTCTTTCTCTTTTACTTTTTTGTTTCCTTTTATGAGACAGGGGTTCTCTGTGGAAATCTGCCTGCCTCTGCTTCCTTCAGCAAATCCTAATGGCGTGTGCCAGCATCACCAGCTTCTCTTTCTTTCTTTATTTTTAAACACAGCATAAAGCTTTAGAGGTTTTGCTTCATCTGTCTCTGTCTTTATTGTAAATCTTCACCTTTTTATGGCCACACAATCTTTTATCTGCTAAATAGCATTGCTAAAATTAAAGGGGTAAGTTTATCATCAGCACTGAGAGCTGTGCTCACTGTCTTGGTCTATGCTGCAATCAAGCAGCATGCTGCCAGCTTGGAGGTGTGGTCACTGCCACTGCTAGTTTCATGGGGCATGAACCCATGACCCGGAGATTAAAAGTCTCATGCTCTACCACCTGAGCTATCTGGGCCTCTTAAAAGAATCCCTGTGATTTTTTTCCACTTAGGCTGAGTCAGGAAATCTCTCTTAAAGGAGCTGCTCGAGCCTCTGCTTGTCTCTGGCAAACAGAGACCACCCAAGAAAATGCTGCTACCAAGAAGTCATGTTTGTCTCTTTTCTTTCGCTTCCAAAATCCCTTTTTAAGCTATTGTGAAGTTCACATGGAAGTTCATAACACTACCACCAGCTGCCCGGGTTCTGCAGCCTCTTGACTAGTCATGGGAAGGCGGCTGGTAGTGCCTGGCAGCTTGTGGCTTGCAGCACCTGGTGTCTTATGTTAACTGGCAGCTTGTGGTGGTGCGAGCACAGAATCCTAACCCCTGCAACTCTTGCAGGCTGCAGACTGTCTTGGGAGTGCAGAGTCCAACCCCCAAGACTACAGGATGGTGTGAGTGTACTGAAGTTGCTGCGATGCCACACAGTGGCTTGACAGGGTGGGCTGTTTCTTATTTGGGGCACTAAAGCAGCAGCAGCAGGTGGAACTCAGGTGGCTGGCAGAAAGCGCCCATGTGGCAGAAGGGCTCGGGTGGCCTGGGTGGAAAGATTTGTTGTTACATGCAATACCATACCACACTTTCAGAGTCAAGGTGAAAGCCTAGAGTTGCTTCTAAAAGGCTTTTCTTTGGGATAGAGGGACCCCAAATAATGCAGTTTCGCTCCCTTGATTAAAATTGTATGAGGAGGTTTCTACCTCTAGGTAGCAGTTCCTTGCTCAGTCAGTCTTTAGAGACTCTACTCCAGAACCATTCTAGAAGGTTTTGAGGACAAAGACTGTTTAGACCATGATTAAAATCTGGCCAGAGAGTGGACTGTGGAAGCCCCCCCCACAGATAGATGTTCCCACAATATTAAAGCTGTACTACTGTGGTAGGCACTGAACCAAATGCAGGGAGCATGGGAGCAGGCGTGGTACAAAACTCTTTGGCAGTCTCTAATTGTTGACAACACAGAGGATTGATGTTTATATATGTCTCTTTAGACAAGATCTTGGCTTTCATGGTGCATGCAGCACCTGAGAGTGAACTTCAGAAATTCTACTCCACCTAAAAGGGCACTGAAATAATATAATACCTTCTTCTCTCTCTCTTGGAGTAACCAGGAAGCATTTAGGAGGTTCAGAAAGAGGAGGGACACGGTGTCTTTAGGTAAATATATGAATTCTGAGTGGGCTGGGGAAGCCAAGACAGGCTGGGATAATCAAGCTACAATGCATAATTTTTCCACCCTGAACCAAAGGAAGGCTTAACTGTGGGAAGGAACCCATCTCCTATCTTCAGTATCTACTGCCTGGTAGTTGGAGACTTAGAGTCATGTTTTGAGGTTCCTGGTGTTTAGAGTACACACAGATTCTTCCATATATATCCATGAGATTACTGGTGAAGAAGTGGCCACAATATAAGAGTCAAGGTGACATCTGAAGCCTAACTGATATTTTCTAGATAGATGCTTTTAAATGATATAGCTCAACACTTAGTAGTTCCCAATTATAGGAATGAGATTCTTGCCCTTCAGGCTGCCATTCTCCATCATCCCTGGAGATCATGGGGAAGGTATCAATGCACATTTGTTATAGCATGTAAGGATATCAGGATAGAGTGGGCCTTGTTCTGGGGGAAAAAGCCTCATAACTGAAGATGTAAGATACTGGGGCCCTGAAGTAGGATCCAGAAAAACCTCTGATTCAAGGTACGTAAAACTACCCTTGTTGTCAGCCCAGACTTCTTCATGGGAAGACTGT